CAGATGCAGGCTCAGTTACACATGCACAGACCACACATAAAATCAGAGCAGTCCGTGTCAACATACTTTTTATCTTTGGGGTTTTTAATGGGAAGTAGCAAGTGCAGCAGTGCAGCATATATGAATATGAGTATTGGGCTAGGACCTGTATCTATATAATCAGTTTAATGTCCGTAGTGGTTATTGTTCCAAAGGACTGAAGGGACCAATGGAGGGGAAGGACCCCGGCCTGTATGAACTGGGCCAGCATTAGTAATATCTCATAATTACCAATATATCATTACATAATAAAATGTCTCATATAAATTAATTCAATCAGTCAAAGCACTGATTCTCATATCAATGCACCATAAACAATAGTGCAAATATTAATCTAGCTTAGTGCACATAATCAAAACAACTATCTAATGTATGCAAACTTTAGCAGGAGGAGCACAGCAAAAACATACTCATAATAATAGGCCTCGGCGCCCACACAGAAAAATATAAGAAATAACTAACAGAGCAGCGCAGGCTAGCGCTAGTTTGACTCACCAGTTCCTCTTTAAAACACGGCACACAGTGTGACAACTGCGTCGATTCAATTGTATGAGGCGCCTGTAGTGAAAGCATATCAATTACGGTTTGTAGAACAAAATATGACGTTAGGTCGCGATAAATACCTGCAGCTCGCTCATTTCCAGCTCCCCTAGACAACACACCCACCGGTGAATGCAGTCCGCTTGTTTAGGGAAGTGTTGCTGCGCGAACTGCGGGGAACTCACGTTCGAACTCTCTCGCGAGCGCTACAACTACCGCGAGGCTTTGTTTCTTCAGAGACGGCATAGATAGAAAGAGAGATGCGGAGAAAGGTAAAAATGGCCCGGGTTACGCAAGTCTTTGCAAGTCAATTGGCGCAAGTCCAAGTGAAAGTCAGAGTCATTGATGTTAAAGTCCAAGTCGAGTTGCAAGTCTTTTTACATTTGGTCAAGTCGAGTCTAAAGTCATCAAAATCATGACTCGAGTCTGACTCGAGTCCAAGTCACATGACTCGAGTCCACACCTCTGATATTAACTAATTTGACTGGGACAGTACATGTATATAAACATATGTCGACATGTCTGATTGTAACAAAAGGCTCATTTTAATCCCAGAAGAACCGTTTAATGATTTCAGTGTGAATTTCTTTTCCAGAGGCAGCTGTCTTTCAGAGGCCATCATTTCTTCATCCATTTCCATCACCTCCAGCTCCTGTGGATTGCGATATAAACTACAACGACCAATATGTTCATTTGTTTTATTAATTACAAGTCATGGATAGTTAGAACACATCTCTCATTTTCTGAAGACATATGCAGCAGCAGTAACAGCAGGTGCCTTGACGTCTGCCTCTGACACAGCTGTCTTTTCTATGGTGTACTCATCACAACCTGGAATAAAATAAAATGATTATGATTTAGTTCTTTGTGTGCAATGAAAAGTGATGTATGAGTTTGTTTTATCCAACCACACAATCCGTGAGAAACATGTTTCATAGCTTTTATTTAAGTACTTCTAATCTTAAATACATTTAAGCCATTAACTCTGACATGATCAGGTCTGTTGGATTTCAAGAGGCAAGGAGCTTGTGCTCAAAAAGTAAGTACTCATGACCTTAAATCTGGTCTGTAAGTTCAAGTCCACGCGTCTTCTGTGGCCAGCTTCATGTTCACAGATGTCCCCCTGTCATCAGTAAATGCACATCACATTTTTACTTAATACAAATTACAACAAAGTGATGCACAAACGAGGGCCATAGCAAATCCATCAATCGCACTAAACACATGAATTATTTACATGAAATATCACATTTTTAAGACTAATGATTACTCTTAAAAATATTGTTATAACAGAGAAAGTATGATACAAAAGCCGCCTTTTTGGGTTTTCATAATTACTTCCACAGTTAAGACTGTTAGCATAAGGGAGCTCTCAAAATGACTCCCAGGGCATGACGCTCCATTCTGGGCATCAGCGCAGCTCTACACCCGTGGTTAGCGTGTTAGCACTGGAGCTCAAGGCTGGAGAAAAAGTCCAAAGAAAATCTGTTTAACCACCAAACAGACCTCTGATATAACAATAGAAGGGACTATTTCCCACCTCCAATGTTAATACAATTAAATGTTATGTCCTAATTAAAACGTAAATTCAACTTTTACCTTTACCTCATCATGGCCGCTCCTCTCTCCGCTCCGTGATCCATGCTACAGCGGGACGCTCACGTACAACAGCACGGCCTGATAATAGTGTGCAACGTCCGAATCGCCATCAGAATGAGTCCACTCACTCACTCACAATAGTCCCGCACGGTATAGTGCGGACATTCGGATAAAGCCAAAGTCATGTTCTGGCCCTGACTACATCTATGGAGGATTGGCTGATCGATTGCTTCTGTCTTGATTTACCCGGAACTAAAGCATGACATTTCGAGCAGCAAAAAAAAAAGCTACGAATTTTTGGACACTGAATTTTTTTCAACATTTAATTTTTTGACACTGAATTTGAAAACATTGAATATTTTGACACTGAATTTTAAAACATCGAATTTTTTGACACTGAATTTTAAAACATTGAATATTTTGACACTGAATTTTAAAACATTGCATTTATTTACACTGAATACTTTTTTGTTACAGTTTATAGAATTCAAAAGCAAAAAAAAGTGTTGATAATAAAAACACAAAATAACCTTCATAGACAACGGATGCAAATTAGCCCATGGCTACAATCTGGAGTGATTTGTTCATTAACACGTACTGTCCCAACCAAAAATACACAATAGGCAAGACAAGTTTAGTTGTATAGCACAAAAATATATCACATAAATAATCACAGAACATTAAAAAGAAAGATAAAAATATAAAATCCCTCAGTTGTATGCACAGCTAAACAGGACTGTTTTTAACCTGGTTTTAAACATTGTCAGACAGGAGGCCTGTCTCACATCTTCAGGAAGATTGTTCCAGATTTTAGCAGCATTGATCTGAAAAGCAGCCTCCCCATGTTTAGTCCTGACTCTGGACACAAACAGGAGTCCAGTCCCTGTGCTCCTCAGAGTCCGGGCTGGTTCATATGGTACTAACATGTCACTAATATATTTTGGTGCGAGGCCATGGAGAGACTTGTACACAAGCAGAGCTGTTTTAAAGTCTATTCTCTGAGCCACAGGAAGCCAGTGCAGAGACCTGAGGACTGGACTAATGTGGTCGTACTTCCTGGTTCTAGTCAGGATTCGAGCTGCTGCATTTTGAATGTACTGCAGCTGTTTTACAGCCTGTTTGGACAGACCTGTGAGCAGGCCATTGCAGTAGTCCAACCTACTGGAGACAAATGCATGGATAAGAATCTCCAAGTCTGCTTTAGACACTATGTTTTTGATCCTGGCAATGTTTTTTAGATGGTAAAAAGCTGCTGATGTTACTGATTTGATGTGGCTATTAAAATTTAAGTCTGAGTCCAGTGTTACCCCTAGATTTCTGACCTTGTTTGAAGGTTTTGAGGGAGAGAGACTGAAGGTGACAGATGACGCTCTCTCTTTGTTTCTGGGGACCAAAGACAATCATTTCAGTTCTGTCTGCGTTTAGCTGAAGGAAGTTGTTTTGCATCCACTCACTGATCTGTTGGATACAGTGAAGGAGTGAGTCCACTGGTCCATGTTCTCCTGCAGTCAATGAGACATAGATCTGAGTGTCGTCTGCATAGTTGTGATAGGATACTTCGTTTCTGCGTATTAACTGACCTAACGGCAGCATGTAGAGATTGAACAGAAGAGGTCCCAGGATCGACCCCTGTGGTACTCTACAGGTCAGGGCCATATGATCTGAGACACAGTTTCCAATCTCCACAAAGTACTTCCTGTCTTCAAGGTAAGACCTAAACCAACTTAGGGCGGTGCCAGCGACGCCAACCCAGTCCTCTAGTCTCTGTAAGAGGATCTCATGGTCGACAGTGTCAAAGGTAGCACTCAGATCTAACAAGATTAAGATTGAGACTTTGCCTGCGTCAGTGTTCAGCCGGATATCGTTTGTACCCTTAACGAGAGCAGTCTCAGTGCTGTGGTGAGGTCTAAAGCCGGACTGAAACATATCAAATGAGTTGTTAATTATAAGAAATCTAGTAAGCTGTAGGTAGACAACTTTTTCAAGGACTTTCCCCATAAATGGCAGATTTGAGATGGGACAATAGTTGTTAAGTACCGTGGCGTCCAGACTGCTCTTTTTTAGCAGGGGCCTGATGACTGCAGTTTTCAGGGCATTTGGGAATATTCCAGAATGAAGGGACATGTTTACTATCTGTGTGAGTGAAGGTAACAGGCTGCTCAGAACAGACTTCAGAACCCGATTAAACTCGCACAACTTATCTTTGAAGATCTTGTAATCAACCTGGAGGTTGGACTTGCGCCACTTCCGCTCGGCCCTCCGGCACTTTCTCTTTTGTGCCCTGACCGAGTCTGCTTTAGCCCACGGCGCCTTCTGCTTATTTTTCACTATTTTAACCTTCACAGGAGCGATAGTGTCCAGAACATTCAAAACACTAGAGGTGACAGAGTTAAACAGTTCCTCTACAGTAGAATACGATGCATTTTCAAAGTTTATCATTCCCATAAATAGTTCACTCGTATTTTCAATAAACAAAAATTAGTAAGTAAGTATAGTAAAGTATTGATACCAGGAAAAAATGCTTCAGTACAGTACTTAAAGTTGGAATACCTAACTTTGAAACCACAAACAATTAATTACCGTATGTAATAACATACATGTTGCTAGTTAGCTAAGGAACTCTATCACTAGTTTTCACATGCATCTATTACATCTTTAGATAAGCTTTTTCATTGAGAAACGTGTTTATGAAACAACAACAATAAGTTAGACACAAATATAAGTATTATGACATGGACATAATGTCCATGTGACCATGTCATAAGCTGTCCAAAGTATTGGACAGCTGCTGATACTTCCTCTGATACATGTATGCTTTGCAGTTCTGCTGGTACCCTGCGCTGTATCTCTCGTGACTGTCCAACAGGGGGCGCTAAGGCAGAGGGTGGCTCGCGTTGTCTCCCCGTTCAGCGTCACGTGACCACCCCGCTGTGGCTCGTGTTGCCCATGATGGCGGAGGGAGCAGCCGCGCGCTCGGACTCTCTCTCCCACTCTGATGCCTGTTTTGTGTCGTGAGAGAGGGCGTTTTTACTTTTTATTTTTCCTCATTCATCACTGAGAGCCAAGCGTCTTCTGACCTGCTCGGGAGCTGCGATTATCGGGAGAGTCATGGCAGACCGCGGCGTGGATTTATCCGCCCTGCCAAAAGAGGTTAGGGACCAATTGGCGGAGTTGGACCTGGAGCTGTCTGAAGGTAAAGGAGGGCAGGGGGATGCTACAGCTAGCTCTGAATATCAGCTGTCTGCCCCATACTAAACCGATACTTTAATTTTCCTTTGTACACGTCTGAATGAGCCCACACGCCTGCTGACTGATACACATATTTCTTATTTAGCTCATACATTTAGCAATATGTGGGGAAAATGCTAGCAGAGCATGACAAGCGGCATTGTACAAGCTAAAATCACCCTCTTTGTTTTTCTTCAAGCTTATCGCTTGGCTTTATTGCTTCAAAACACAATTTCAGCGACGTCTTCCTTTGTTTGATGTTAATAACGGAGACTTGCCTACATGTGTGTTGTGTGACATACATTTCAAAGGCAAGGTCTTGGCGTTAGTTTGACCCTTTTTTCTGTCAAGTTAGCCTCATATGGTGTGAAATCCTGGACTTGGTTCTTGTTTCGCCTGTGACTTCTGAGGCCGGGTTAATCTGAATAGACTGCCTGATTGCTGTGTAAGTGACTCATTATGACTAATTGTGAGATAGATGGACACTCATCTGTTCTGCTTTTATGTATAGGTGTAGGCTGATATGAACTGCAGCTGGTAACATTGAGCACACTGTTTGTCTTCAGTGATAAGAATGGTGACTGAGGTGTGCACTGTGTAAGCCTGTCATTACTGTAATAATAGACCAACAATCTGCTGCTTATATCAAGTACTTGTGTCAGCCATATTCTCACAACCGAACTTTCTAAATAGCCTTTTTGGAAGGTTAAAATTATGTTGTTTATTCAAGCCTAGTTAGAAAAATCAACATAAGAATGTGTAATAACCACTGGGTGACATGACCTATACAATTCAAGCTGTCATTCTTAAATACATGTGTGGTGAAGATGTTCTATCATCGTTTTTGCTCAAGTAACAGCCATAACATACAATATAGTAGTGCCTGCTCATAAAAGCTCTCACTTACACATTTCAACTACATTGTACAGGTCAAGGGGCAAGTGATGATAGACCAAAGAATCTTTTAAATTAGTAAATATTAAACGTTTTTTAAGATTTCACAATAAAGCAGAAAAAAATCATTTGATCAGTGTGCTAGAGTTCACTGCAAGTTTCTGTTTTATTCTCAGCCATTCAAAATATTAACATATTTGGTCCGATAATTTCACATTTCATTAGTGCAATTTATTATCCTTTATTTTATTTTTACTCTGTTTTCTATTTGGGATCTCAGCATTGTAGGGAGGGATAATGGTAATAACTGAGTTTACAGTATTAAAAGTAAAGAGAAATTCAATTAATAGTTACTGTAAAATCGGTGTCTAATCCAAAGATTGTGGAGCTGACTAAGCAGTGGGACATGATTAGAGCTGCCAACTTCAAGTGATGGCTGTTTTTAGAATGTTGAAATCTAAGTTGCATATCTGCCACTATATTTATATGTATTTCTACAACTAATATACAGTATATATATGAGTATTTCTTTATTATTTAATTAACTCATATTTTACCAGAGAGATCAGAATGGATCATTGACCTGGGTCTTTTATGTCCCCTGGTTAAAGGTGGGGTACCTAAGATGTTTTCTCATAAATAATACATTTAGTTTGTTCCAACAGAAAGGAACAAACCTTGTAATGGTAATATGTTTGGAGTAAATCAGACGACAACATGCTATTGTCAACTTGCATACTTGTAAGAAAGAGCTCTTTGACTTGCTATTTGACACATTGGGCTGGGAGCCGATTGGCTAAGGGAGGATGGTCCTCTTTTTTTATCTTGAAGAAGCTGATCTAATGTGATAAATGTCAATAATACTTGCTTGAGAAAACGAGTGGTAGAACCAAACTGTTTAGTACAAAGAATACATAGATTTTATGATATAGCTAAAAAAATAGGTTTGAAAGTTGGACACCCCAACTTTATTCTAGAGTTGTGTCCACCCATTCCAAATGTGATGGATGCATCTATTTGCTGTGTGCACAAATGTTGGTTATTTCCTGAAGCCAAGCCCTGTTCAATCTCAACCCCTTCAGAGCGAGCAGCTGCTGGGGCATCTTGTGTGACCACTCCTCTGTGACACCTGGGCCACATTCCTCACACTGACCAGTCAAATCTAATCATTTCAAGCTCTGACCACTCATCGCTGATAATCTGGCAGTTGTCTTTCAAGAAATGACTGCTGCTATTCGCTGAAGAGGCTCTTGGACGATGTGTCTGATGCCATCATGGTGCAACTTTGTGCTCAGTACCACAAGACTGCATGAGGTTCATGTCTGCTCTTTACCTGGTGTTGGTGACTTTGCTCCCTCATTGTTTTTACAATTGCATTCCATTCTGAAATGTTAAATTATTGTACTGTGATTGTGATTGGCATGCTTTCTGATTAGCACCTCCAACAAAGTGTAACAGCAGTGAAGCTATGTCAAACTAAGACTCTCTTTACAGGTTATTTTTGTGATTTCAATAATGAGCGAATTAATTTTGAATATATTTTTAAATTTCAAATTACTGCCCCGCCTCTGTGATACTTGAAGCGCATTCACACGGGATAAGCAATGTCTGTAAATGACTATATTTTCACTGACATCTCACATAACAGTCCGCATGTGCGCGAGTCTCTCCGTTCACGCAGCCCAAAGGATCCTCGCAGTGACGCGGCTCCTAGTCACAGAACATGGGAAACCTGTTTGTGCTAGTGGTCCTTGGCACGACATCAGCTCCACACACATAGCATTTATCTGCACTTCTACCTAAGCTGGGAAATCGGACACGTCTGTTTATCTTTGCCCAATTCTCTTCATTGGTCAATTCTCTGGACCAATGAAATGCATCAGGATATACCAGGGATGAGAATTTTCTGCGGATCCGCAAATTCTGACGTTTTCCCGCTGAAATTGTCATTTTTGTGAAATGTGTGACTGCGGGCTGTTTTCGCGGTACGTACTCGAACGGAATTCCACATCTTCCGTTCTGACCCCGGCAGCAACTGTGGCCGCTTTGTAAGGAGAGCCGCACTCGCACTTCCACCCTTGCGCCCCTCATTTACACACTTCGACCTAGCCTGCATCTAAGCGGACTCTGGCGAAGGATATTTCCTATAATACTTTGCGGTACACACCAAAACGTCGGGATAATGCATTGTGTAATTTTTGAAATATTTATGCTGTATGTGTGAAAATATGTTTTGCAATGTTACTTGGAAAGCGGCATAAATGTATTTACGGACATTCTATGCTAGCAATTTCATAACTTTTTTAATGCAAGCATTCATATAACATTCAATTGAAACTTTAAACTTAGTACAATAAACTTAGGATGTATAAAAACTTACCAGATAACAGTTAGTTACCCACATTTAACTTAAAATTATACAGCTATCTCAAATTACAAATAACCAATACATTTATTTTAACGTGTGTGGAGCAACTCATTAACTACTACTTTTGTTTCCCACAGGGTTGGACAAAATGACCTTTAATTTGATGAAGTTTAGGTCTGAAAAATGACCATTTCTTGACTAGTCGATGACGTAACCTGCACTGTCCCAATTCCGCCTTTTTTGCGCGCTTGTAACCTGCGCCCTCAAACTCTTGCGTGCACTTCAAACAAATGCACACTTCATAGAGGAGTGCAGGGTGTTATGCGGGCATTGAGACGGGGCCTTTCACATCTTTGTGGTGGCCCAAGGAGAATGTTGTTGAGGAAGTATACTGCTGGGGGAGGCTGGGGGCGACGTGTGTCGGGTTGTAAAGTTCCACTGCCTACTACTGGCCGGGCACTAGAACTACATTGAGGGAGGGAGCCTGGTTGTTTTTGCTGATTGTCCTGCAGCATCTCCGCTAGGGTTGGGCGATATGGGCCTCAGCATGTATCACGATTTTTGTTGGTATGTATCACGATATGACGATATGATAATTTTAACAAAGCCTCATATAAAAGCTATACAAACTTAGCACTGATAATTTTAAACACACTTGCCTCAAAGTGTATTTACTGATTTATTGGCAGCAAAATGTGTAATACAGCTATTGTATATAAAACGTATTAACAAAACTGAATTGTAGAGAATTCTGTTTTGTACATACTGAAAATTGCAGGCAACATGTAATAAAGGTGAACATTTGTAATTTGTAAAATATATAAAAGTTTGTCCTTTGTAATATAAAAAGTGTAGCATTATCAAATAATTATTTGATCACTTTGGCTTATGTTTCCTAATCCCAATATAGTCAAAATGATCAAATACTGTATATATTTTTTGTATCCTTTTGCGTTTCTATAATTATGTAATTATAACTTATTTGTAATTATATTGCAATGTAGACAAACGCATGCATTGAAGTAAAATGAATGACAGTAAACAGTAAATAAAGCTTACCAATGGCACTATGAGAGAGAGAGAGAGAGAGCGAGTGTCCAAAGCAAGCCACTCGAGTCCAGTTGTTTAGGGCAGCTGCTTTCACAACATTAGATCCACTGTCGATAGTTACACACAATTGCTTCTTTTTATCTAGTTCCCAAACTACTCCCATATGTTTGAGGTAGCTCCGCGTTTTGGCACAATGTCTTCTACAATCTGCATGTCTTCACCATGGTCTTCACCGCCGCCCTCAGCCATGTTTGCTCTCTGCTCTGTTGTTGTTGTCCCTGCACGCCGCTCTGCTACACGTGCCGCGCAGATGCGTCATAAAAGTGCGCCGCACACAAACGTGTCTTCCGCTCGCTGTTTTCAGTGTTAAATTATCGTTTTCACCGGTATAAGGCATTTTCTTATCATTTAATTTACTTATACCGGTACAAAAAAAATATCGCCCAACCCTAATCTCCGCAGCGTCTCCGTCTAAACGGGGCCTCTATCAATGACATGCAGATTTGCAAGGGATTAGTATTATCACTGGACGTCTGTGTTTGGACAAATACAGGAGGTAATTTGCGGCGGATTTATTACTTTACAAATTACATACATGGTGCATTCGCACTGAACTAAAATCTCAGACGTCCTCTGCAATAATGACAAATTAC